AAAGAGGGTGGTCCCAGGGCAGCAATGAGTGATGAACTGAGGTTCTCACACCGTGAACCCACGGGGCCTGGCTCTGGTTAACAACCACATGCATGAGCTCGAACCCTCCTTTGGTTGTGTCTTGAGATGACTGCAGACCTGGATGACAACTTCAGTATAGCCTGATGACAGACTGAATCAGAGCGCCACAAACCCACACATTTCTGACCCAGAGCAACCGTGACGTTAAGTGTGTGTTTTAACACTAAGCTATGCAGTAACTCACAACCGAGGTTAGGCCGCCTTATCAGTAGCTCAAGATCCACCATCTAAATAATGACTGCCAGAAGTTGTGACCACTGATGTTTCCCTAACAAAGGCTCCACAGCAGAGAACCCCACCTTTGTTAAGTGCTGTACCCTCAGCACCCAGGACACACGAATCTCAAAATACCTTTGAGTGGACGACTGTTGCTACTGTTGTCTCAACTACAAAACCCCTTCCCCTTTGTCTCGCTTCCGATCCCCAAGGCTCTCACATTCCTTGCTCCTCAGTTTAACCGGCTAAGTTGGGGCTATATTTGATTCATTTTTTGAGTTTTTATTTATCTATGTAGGCATTTTTTTGCCTGAATGTATATACACCAAGTACATGCAGCGCCCACAGAGGACAGAGGAAGGCATCAGATTCCCTGACACTCAAGTTGCTGATGTTTGTAAGCAGCCATGTGGGTGCTGGGAATTGAACCTGGGTCCTCTGGAAGAGTAGCCATCTCTCCAGACCCACTTGATTCCTGCGTGATTACATCTATCCTGAAACAACCTTTGCCTATCTATGGCGATGCCTAATCTGGGCAGCGGCATCAGAAGGAGGAGCCTGGCCTGCTCTGGAAGTATACAGCTGATCCTATGACCTTGGATAAGTTTCTCTATTTTTTCTTTGGGGGGGGTGTGTGGTCATGGTTCAGGGCTCAAAGCTCATAAAAGTTAGTCCTAGCCTTCTTTAACTGTATACTGTTTTGAATTTCTCTTTCCAGTCTGATAAAATTGCTTTCAAGCCAATTATTTTTCTTTCTTTTCTTCAGGTTGGGGGGGGGGAGTGGCTGGGTTTCACACTAGCTCAGGTGGGCTTAGAATCCACATTAGTTTTCTTGCTCAGCCGGCCACGTGCTGGGTTTACAAGTGAGTTACCATGCCCAGCTTGATATTTTCCAACAGACAAATAATAGAAAGTCAATCCAAGGCCACATTAACAGACAACATGTGAAGTCTTTGGCTACAAGAAAACAAAGTGTTTACACATACTCTGCCAAAGCACCTTTATTTCACTAAATATCAGATTTTAGAAAAATCATTTTCTATTATTGTAGCAATACCTGTGCCAGAATATTTTCTAATAATTTTTATTTTATGTGCATCGGTATTTTGCCTACATATATTTCTGTTTCAAATACTCTGGAATTGGAGTTAGAAACAGTTGGTTTCTATGGGTGCTGGGAATTGAATCCGGGTCCCCCGGAAGAGCAGCCTGTGCTCTTAACCACTGAGTCATTTCTCCAGCCCCCTAAGCCAGAATATTAACACTTGCATTTATGAAATTCTTCAGTCCCCCTTATCATTGCTGAAATTCCACTGCAGAAGAACAGAAACTGGGTTTATCTAGTGTAGTATCTGACAGTATTTGAGGAAAAGAGTCTACATAGAGGAAAAAAGCTAATATATTAAGTTTTCAAAGAATTAAAAAAAAAAAAAAAAAGCAATGGTGTAACTGCCTGTAACTCCAGCTCCATGGGATCTGATACCTTCTTCCTGACTCCTCAGGCACCTGTATTCACAAGTGCCCATTCCCCAACACACACACACACACACACACACACACACACACACACACACACACACACGATGGAAATTCTCTCCTTTCACCCTTGCTGGGTTCCAGGCTTTGAACCTGGTTGTGAGGCTTGCCTGACAAAGTGCTTTCAAAGGCACCCCAGGCGGACAAGCAATTTCAGGAAGTCTACCTCCAGAACAAGAGAATAACTACATGATAATTTACATAGTCACTAATGACAATGAATAAGCACAAAAAAATGACAGACCCCCCAACAATTAAAGCATGGCATAGGGTTTTTTTTTTTTTTTAGCTTTTATAATCATCTTATGGTAAGTACTTAAGCATAATAAAGTCATTACTAAAATACGAGATGCATGCATGCATACACACACAGACCTCCAGAAAAAAAAAATTAATCCACTCTACGGGTATTAGTATTTTCAGTTCATCTTGAACAAAACAGATTAATTACTAAGTGTAACAAGTAAAATGTTAACTTTAAAAGCAGCACTCAAGCCCTATCAAGAAACACCACAAGCAAAATCCATTTAGCGTATTATCTAAATGGATCACACTGATTGACATGCCATCTTTTCTCACAGTTAAGTAGAAAGGAAAAAGAAAACATATGCTGTTTCAAACAGAAAAAATACAATAAATTCAGCAAAAACAAGACAAAAAACCGGTGAGTTAGCTCGGCTGGTCTTAAAGGCATTTGCCCAGCATGTGTGGCGACCAGAGATGAACTCTGGGACCCCTGTAGAGGTGGATGGAGAGACCCAACTCCACAGGCTGTCCTCTCCAGTCCACTCGCGAGTCCACGTCGACATCCTACACACAGAATAGCAACACATCTTAAAACCACCAATAAAAACAATCACAAAGGAGAAATAAGTAAGCCACCCATAGGCACCGAACAACAACACAACAAAATCGCAGGAAAAGAAGCTGAACACCGGTGTCCAAACTCTGGAGATCTTACAGAGCGGAGGTTTCGGGGTGGGGGCGAGAAAGCTCCCAACCGGTCCCCGGATCGGGTGACATCTGCACGGACGAGGCATCCATCACCAGGCTCCGCGGGCGGATCGTGCGCCCTGCGGCCCGAGCCAGCACTCACCTGGCGCTGCCCGCCGCGTGGCGGGGGACGAGGCCCGTGCCGCAACGTCGCGCTCGCTCCGGCCGGGCTCCGCGGGCACCGCAGCCCCTGCTCGCGGCCAATTCCAAGTCCAAGCCGGCAGGGCCCCTGGCAGCGCCCGACCGCCCCGGCCAGTCCCGCACCCGCGGGGCCACGCCCCGGAAGTGAGGGCGCCACGGGCGTGCGCGCGCACGCGGGACCCCAGGGGGCGTGGCCGAGCGCTGGGTGCGCCTGCGCATTCCGCGCGCGATCGCAAGGGAGGGTTTGGTCCTACCCGGCCTGTATCAGAACTTAAACCTGTGTGGCCCTTAGATCTATCTGTTCCCGAGGTTCGTTCTCGTGGCCTCGGGGTCAACTTTCAACAAACTGCTCGGAAGTTAGGGAGTCAGGGGTTCTCTTACAGGTGAGTGTCTGTGGCCAAGCCATTCGTTTATGACCAATCTTGCTTTAGAACCCGGTACTGAGACTATGTAGGACACTGGGAACAGGGTCCATCCATGCCTCATATATATATATTTATAATATATATATATATAGTATAAATATATTAAACATATATTATATATATTATATATATATCATATATATATATCTGGCAACTCCTCTCTCCCTTTGAGATATAGGCCGAGAGGGTAGAGTGTGGTCATAGGAAAGTATCTTCACTATGTGAAGTATGAGCATCATGGGCTCACAAAGTAGTGACACAAATCAGGAATATTGCTTTTGGGCCAGTCAGATGAATTTGGCCTCATGTATATCAAATACTAAATTTATGAAGCGGTTGCAAACTAGTGAACAGAAGAAAACAACAGTAATGGTAATATTTAAAACGTTTCATGTCCAGCTGTTTTGAGACAATGTCTTAAGAATCTGATTAGCATTTCCTATGATTATATGTAAAAGGGAAGCATCAGGTACGCATTTAAAAATGAGAAAATGTCTGGAGTTCAATTCCCAGCAACCACATGGTGGCTCACAGCCATCTGTAGTGGGATCTGATGCCCTCTTCTGGTGTGCAGGCAGACATGCAGATAGAACACTCCTATACATAAATAAGTCTTTCTAAAGCGATAAAATGGCCTGGCGGTAAGTGGCACATGCCTTCAAACCCAGCACTCCGGAGGCAGAGGCAGGCAGATCTCTGTGAGTTCCAGGCAGCCTGGTCTACAGAGCAAGTTCCAGGACAGCCAGGGCTACACAAAAAATTTGGGGGACCCCAGAGCAAAGTTAGCACCTTAACAGCCCTTTCCTACCACTCTCTTAGATACTAATATGCTGGTAAGTTTCCATTCCCCTATGACTGTTCTCTTAAGCATCTGACACAGCCTGACCCTGAAAGTCCCAGCTGCAGACTTACCGTATAGCAACTCATCCATCTTACAGCAGAAGACCTGCACTCTGCTTGGAAGGACATTCTGCCTCCCTCACATCCTCCCTTTGGACCATTCCCTCATTTCTCCACTACTTAAACGCTGTGGTTATATTCACTAAACGAGACTTGATCAGAGTACCGTCTAGTCTCCATCTCTCGCGTCTCTTGTCCCCTCATCCTCACTCCCTCCCTCAGGGTCCCTGTCGACTGACCCCGAGGTCCAGGGCAAAGAAAACCCTGTCTCAGGAAAACAAAAAAGGAATTAAAATGATATAAAAGTAAAAAAAAAAAAAGAAAGAAAATTTAAATTAAAAATTGGGGTTGTGAAATGGCCTCCCCAGGTAAAAGCACTTGCCTAATCCTCAGGAAGCACGTGATTGAAGGAGGGAGCTGGATCCAAAGCACCTGATTGCCACATAAGTGCTGTGGCATGTACATACACATGTACACAACATATAAATGTTAAAAGAAAAGGATGAGAAAAAAAGGACTGGCAAGATTGCTCAGTGGGTAAGGTTCTTGCCACCAAACCTGAAGATGCAGGTTTGATCCCCGCACCCACAGGGTCGAAGGAGAGACTGACCCTTGAAGCTTGTCCTCTGCCCTCCTTGTGTGTATTCACAGGCCCCCACACAATAACACAAAATAAAAAATTAACATAATTTAGCTTTCCACGCATGATTGAAAGATTTGAATTTTGCTTTTTTTATTATCCCAGCAGATGATACACTAGAGGAAATGATTGGGAAAAATACAAATAGATTCATTAAAACAGACTGATTAATTGTTCTATGACATTCAGAAATATGCAAAACAGTTGTTATATTGCAAAGCTGTAATTCTTTTCTCTAGCAAAGCATTACTTTATAAAATGGTAGTGTTGCCGTTGATTCCATTTTAATACAAAATACTTATATACATAATATAATATAAAAGTAAACTGGGAAGTGCCCTCCACAAAGGATATACTAAGGCACTTTACAAATATCCCGATATTGTTGACCCAAATTACATTTTATTTTAGATTAAAAAACAGACTTTAAATACCAAAGGGATTTCTTGTTGTTTATTAAAGAAATTTCTAAAGTACCTTGGGTAACAGCAGCAGCATATCTAAAAACTCCTCCCAATGGGGTTCTAATTTCTAACATATTATTCAGTCAGAATAAAACATTTCCACTCACAGTTTTGCACTTCTCAACAGCAGAAGAAAGTAACTTTTTAAAAAAGTCAATGTCAAAGTGACTTCTTAGTCATACATTCTATAGTTTCTATTACAAATAGGAAGGTAGGTCAGATAGAGCAACAGGGCCTGCCTCAGGGTGTCACTGAACAATACACAACAGTATGCACAATTGCATCATTATAGAACGCATTTTATAAATACCATTGATACCCATGCAAGGGACAAGCACACAGACAGCCACAAGGGACAGCATGGGGAACAGCATCCTCACCCTGCCTCAGTTCAGAGTGGCAGGGTGTATGCTCACAGAGTACCAGCGTCTGTGCTGGAAGAACGGGATGTGGTCAGGGAGTAAAATAACCAATATGCTGTCCAAATATTAAAATTGTGGATGAAATACTAAAATTGCAGATACAAATGCTTGTATACTGCCTCCCACAAACACTAGAGGCTTCTACCGTCAGAGGAGTTTAGGAGGACAGAGTCTCAGGGCTTTCATTCTGAGGAGACACGGTTGTGGAAGGGAAGACAGCACCTTTATTTTCCTGCAGTATGAGCATGACGGGATTGGTTTTCTACTGTACTGCACCATAATCCAGGAGTAAAACCACTAATGAAGTGTAAATCTGACTGAGAAAGCCCAAAGAACAAGAGGCCTGCCTTGTAAATGTGGGGACCAAGTAAAAAATTCTTGAATAAGTACATTTTGCATAGGATTTTACAGACTGTTCAAATGTCCCACGACTTAAAGACTGTTTTGAGATAGCACACTCTCTTTCAGTTCTCATTAGAAATCCTTCAAAACCACCAAGCATTTCAGTGCCCTCAAAAATAATGTTTAAAATATGTCAGTGTTGTGCCAGCATTTATGGGTTCATCAGCTTGTACTCTAGAAACCTTTCCAATGACAGATAATTACTTTTACAAAATGTGCAATAAATTAAGTTTTCAGTTTAATGCAGCAATTTACCTATAGGAAGTAGGTCTTTAGCCTGTTGTGTGTGAGGTTTTGTCATATCGAGGGACCCCTGGAAGTGCATGTAACAATTCTTGTGTATGTGTTTGATATGCACTTTTTACATAGGGCCGGAGTTCACAAACCCTTCATTTCAAAAGAACCCCAAAGGCCCACCCTTACACTGCAACCGGTTCTAAATTGAACATCAACGTGTAAACTAATAAGCTAATGACTTTTCTCTTTCCCCAATTCAACCAAATAACTTTGCCTTTAATTTTATTATACATATGGTTTCAAACAAATTAACTTTTATAAGAAAGCTAGATAGGTAAATATCATCCCTGTCTACAAATATTAAGTCTGATAAAGCAATTCATGTCAATAAACCTTAAGAGAAGGAAATAATATACAGACGTTACTAAGGTCAGAATACAGCCCAATTCTTCTTCCTAAAAGATGTTACTACGCATTTTGTTATGAAGCCACAATTCTTCCTTAGAACCTAAACATTATATAAATAGGCACATTAATCTTAAATAAGTTAGGAGTTCTTTAATTTCTAAACCACTATGTATCTTCTTCTAATTGGGAATGGCCATCCCAATTAGGAGTTAATAATTATCTTTTAACCAATTAATCTACTCTTAGGTATAATAGTGCCAAATAGAAACATTTTCCTGTGCCAGTGATGTGCATTGTAGCACAGTCCTGAAAGGAAATCTACACCACTGACAACACAAGATGGTTCCTTCGGGGGACAGGGGTGCTGGGGATTGAACCCAGGGCTTTGTGTATGTTAGGCAAGTGCTCTACCACTAAGTTGTATCCCCAGCCGCTGGAAAAGTACTTTCTTAGTGAAATCAAAGTTTTACAAACTGAAAACAATTTCTCTGCTTAGGAGATGGAAATTTTTCTTCTAATTTTAAGATACAAATATTACAGACCTTAGTTTTCAGTACTTGAAAAATTGATTTATGGCAACTTGGTTCCCTTTTAAAACTGGAAGCAGCATTAATACCAATATGGAAACAAACTGGTAGTGCTGACCCCTCCTGTTATAGCCAGTAACTGAGGGGCGCCAGGTGAGAGACTTCCACGGAGGAAAGGGGAAACTTTGTCACTGCGAGTGAACTCACTGTTCTCGGCTCTGTACTTGTGACTCTGGGATATAACTTTCCAGATTAGCATTAGCCTAGGTACACTTTCTAAAACGATGGCTTAATTTCTTTAGCTCATTGTGAACTAAAACCAAAGTTACAGGGAAATATGGATGTTTCGTATTTGGTTAAAGCAAGATAAAAACTGTTCTTTCAAAAACTCTTGAATTTTAAAATTATTTAGCATATATACAAATAGATACCAGGCTTCTCTTTTTAAACAGAGCACTATTTTTTAAGTACTTTAAGTACCAAGAACTGACTATAATACTCAGCTCATAATTTATTTTCCTTAAAACAATTTATTCTAAATTACTGAATTAAAAGGGTGGAATAAATTAACATTTTAAAAACGATTTTCCATAATTTAGGAAAATAAAATATTGTACACAGAGCACAAAACTCTGTCACATTTGCATAATCTTCTCAAAACTTAACAAAACCCTGAATTTCAGGTCTTTCTGCAAATTCTTACAATTACCTCCTAGTCTATTAAACATACACTAGATCACGGCTTTTTACATCTGAGCCTGTGTGTTGGTCGTCTTCATCAGACTGTTGCTCTGAGCCTTGTGAATTAATGTATTCATATTCAATAGGCTTTGGATAATTATATGGGTAGCCATTGTCGTCAAAAAACCTCCGAAAGGTAAACTCATAGAAAGCGTGTTCCGGGTGCTTGCCGTTTTTGTACCATCCGTTCAGGGTGTCACTGACATTTTCTTCCTCGTTATCATCGCTCCACAATTTGTCAGGGTCAACAGGGTCAAAGTTGGACGTGTCTGTTGGGTGGGTGATTTTGGGGATGTATGACGCAGACTGCTGTCTCAGATCGCTAGAGAAGTCGATGGCTTTAAAAAACGGGTGGGCCTTTATCTCATCAGCACCATTCTTGCCGAGGCGGTCTTCCGGTCCTCGGCAGAGTTTGACGATGAGGTCAGAGGCTTCAGGACTCAGCTTGGCTTGAGGGGGAATGTGAAGAGAAGTTTGCCAGTTGATAACCTTTAGAGAAGAGTTTTTAAAAATTAGGAAGGGAGAGATGAAAATCAACAATTGCTCCAAGTTTTATACCAAATGCCTAATGGACTACTTGTTTTTCTAAATAATTTGCATGGTATTTTGCCTTTAATAATAAATCACTGCTAAAAAAAACATACTTTCTCCTATCCTTGCCTCTTAAGAAGACTTAGAGTAAAGTTGTTTATTTTGTTTTGTTTGATTTTTGTTGTTTCTGTTTTTGAGACAGGGTTTCTGTGTGTAGCTGTGGCTGTCTGGAACTCATTATGTAGAACAGGCTGGCCTTGAACACAGAGACCCTCCTGCCTCTGCCTCCCAGTGCTGGGATTAAAGGCGTGCGCCCCCCCAGTGCCTGGCTATTTGTTTCACTTTTGAGAAAATGTCTCTCTAAGTAGCCTTGGCTATCCTGGGCCTCAAAGTGTGGTCCTTTGAATGAAAATTGCCCCACAGACTGGGGGACTGGCACTCTTGGGAGGTATGGCCTTGTTAAAGAAAGATTGTCACTGGGGGTGGGGTTCTGAAGTCTCAAAAGTTCAAAGCAGGCCTACCATGTCTCAGCCTCTTCAGATCGAGATGTAGAACTCTGACTCCTTCCAGCACCACGTTTCTCACCATGAAGGTAATGAATTAAACCTCTGAACTATAAGCCAGGCCCCAATTAAAGATTTTCCTTTATAAGAGTTGCTGGGGGGGGGCAGGCTGGAGAGATGGTGCAGTTGTTAAGAGCACAGGCTTCCCTTCCAGAGGACCCCAGTTAAATTCCCAGCTCCCACATGGCAGCTCACACCTGTCTGTAACTCCAGTTCAAGCGGATCATGCATCCTCACACAGACATGCATGCAGGAAAAACACCAATGCACATAAAATAGAAATAAATTGTTAAAAAAAAATGTGTGATCATGGTTCCTCATGACAGCAACAGAAACCCTAACTAAGGTACCTTGTAAACCAAGCTGGCCTGGAAATCACAGAGATCCACCTCTACCTCCCAAGTACTGAGGATAAAGTTTTGTACCATGCTAAGCTTAAACATGTTAACCATTCCTAATCAAAAAATTCAAAATCTGAAAATACTTCTTTTTGTTTGTTTTGTCTTTTAAGACAGGGTTTCTCTGTAGCTTTGGAGCCTGTCCTGGAATTCACTCTGTAGACCAGGCTGGCCTCAAACTCAGAGATCTATCTGTCTCTGCCTCCCAAGTGCTGGAATTATAGGTGTGCACCCTAACTGCCCAGCCAAAATCTGAAATACTTTAAAACACAAAAGTTCAGAGGCTGGAGAGATGACTCCACGGTTAAGAACACTGGCTGTCCTTTCAGAGGACCTGGATTCAATTCTCAGCACCACATGACTAAACTATCTATAACTCCAGTTCCTGAGTATCTGACACCTTTATACCAATGCACATAAAACCAAATAAGTTATTAAAACACAGCTAGCTTGTGTTGGTTACACTCAAAAGGAGCCCACGAGGCCTGGGACGCAGCTCTGTGGTAGAGCACTAATCTAGCCTATCAGAGACCCTGGGCTGGAATTCTACCACTCCCAAAACAAAACAGAACCATAAAAAAAAAAAAAATAAAGGTGTACTCAACTATTGATAAAGTTACTTTAAGCTGTGTGACATATAAATGACTTTCATCTTTAAACCTGCTCTCTATTCCTATGAAGTCTCCGCTCTATGCAGACATTTAAAACCCTGGAGGGAGAGACAGATCTCCAGGGTCAGTTGGTTTACATGGTGAATTCTAGGCCAATTCAGGGTGACAGACTGAGACCCTTTCTCAAAAGGAAACATCTGAAAGAACGTGAACTGCTTCTGCCTCAAGTGTTTTAGCCAGGACACACAAAGGCACTCTTGAGAACAGCACACAAAGAGATCTATGGTAGAAGGGCTGATGGTTTTTGGTGCAGATCCTATAGCTTACCTTCATTTGTGTTTCTAATGGGGTTTGTGCCAAGAAAGGAGGTTGTCCCACCAACATTTCAAAAAGAATAACACCAACACTCCACCAGTCACACAACTGTGTATATCCTAAAGGTACCAAAATTACAGTTACTCATAAAAATACTTTTAAAAATGCTCAGAATACAAACAACATTAGCATTAATGCTTACTAAAGCAATAACTTAATACTGTAAAATCAACTTTTATCTTAACCCTGAAAAGAAATAAAGTATATTCTAGTGTAACTCTGGCTGATCTCAAAAGACTGAAATTACTTATGAGACAAATAAATGCTCTTTGCCTGTTCGTAGTAGTACTTCAGGTGCAATGTAATTGGGAGTCCCAACCAAAGAATGTGCTAGACACCGCTGGTGCTGGCGTGCGGCTCTCCGTTCTAGTGGCTTTAGTCTGTCTCCACACCGACAATTGGAGGGATCTCCCCATTCATTACTGAAATCCATGCTATCTTGCCGTGGATGATCCCCTGTACAATAAAAAGGAAAAAAATTAAATGAAAGCCACACGGACAAACGTAACCCTCATGTCTGTTTAACTGCTGATATCATGACTAGGAGCTAGTACTACTTCCCCTGTGATGAATTAATGCACAAAAGATGCCAAGTCACTGGCAGCATTACTATTACTGGTAAGGGCCTGTCTGCTGAGATATTGACAGGAAAAGATTTGAACTGAGACAAACTGAAGACTCAATGATTTACTTTGTGTTAAATGGTAATAACAGTTAAGTCATGAGGAGGTAGGAGGAAGTATCTCATTGAAACCATTGTTATTTTTCTGAGGGTATTTTTAAATACATCTAAATCAATTTCATTCATTCAACAAAGACTCTAAGATTTTTCACTGAGACAGCTCACACTCTGGCAGGGGAGAAGCACACACACAAGCATATACATGTAAGAAACAGAGATGACGGGGGCTGAAGGTGACCTCAGTTGTTAGAGGGGGCTGGCAATCATCTGGCTCGGTGGAATATACCTGTGATCCCGCCACAAGTTTGCTGGCTCCTTCTAATTAGTTTTCTCTTTTAAGATTTATTAATTATGTGTATACACATGGGTACAGTGTCCTCATAAGCCAGCAGTGTCACGTCTGCTTGTAGCTGGAGACGTAGGCAGGTGTGATCTAACTTGCATGGGTTCTGGAAACTGACTCAGATAGACATTCTTGTCTCCAGCCCTATTTATTTCTTCCTCTTTCTTTTTTCTTTTCTTTCCTTTCTTCTCTCTTTCTTTTTCTTATTTTTTTTTTTTTTTTATATTTTTGGAGACAGTGTCTCACTGTACCTCAGACTGTCCTCAAATTTGCTATACAGTATGATTTTACTCCCAGCACTTGGGAGGCCTCTGTGAGTTCAAGGTCAGCCTAGTCTATATAGTGAGTTTCAGGAAAACTGAGCTATGTAGAGAGACTTATCTCAAAAACCAAAGAGGACCCAGCAAGACAGCTAGTCCTCAATGACCTGAGTTTAACCCTCAGGAACTATGTGAAGGAGACAGGCAACTCCAGCAAGATCTCTGACTTCCACATAACAAAATAAAGGACTGGTTTTGGTTTTTATTATTTTTTTAAACCAAGAATTTTAAAAAATGGGGGGAGAGGGCTCAGTTGGTAAAGTTACAGCTGCACAAGCTTAAGGACCTGACTCTGGATCCCTAACACCCTGTAAAACTTAGGTGCTGTAACCCTCCCCTTGGGAAGGCGGAGACAGGTGGGTCCCTGGAACTGTGACCAGCCAGCTTACCCAAATCCATGAGCTCCAGGTACAGTAAGAAACCCAGTCTCAAGAAGGAAAATAAAAAAAACCAAAAAAAAAAAAAAAAACCAAAAAAACAAAAAACAAACAAACAAACAAACAAACAAAAAAACAAACCCAAAGGAGGAGGGCTGCTGAGATGTCTCAGCTGGTAAAGGAGCTTGCCATTTCCCAGGTAAATGACCCCATCTGGGTCACTGTATCATACACTAGGACAGAGCCAACTCCCACAAGTTGTACTCTGATCTTTAAACATCATGCCATGTACACACTGTGCCCATAGACACATATACTATATAAACTATACACTATATAAAAAGTAAAAGATAATCATCAAGGAAGATACCAGACACCGGCCCCGCCCCTACAGTGCATATAACCACATCTGCCCACACACACATGAAAGAAAACGGTGATGAAGATGAGAGCACTGAGGGTATACTGGGTGGCAGACACAGGGAGAGCACACACACACACACACACACACACACACACACACACACACACACACACGGTGTGGCATGGGTCTGCAGTCCCAGCCTCACACACACACACACACTTACATACACACACACTCACACACACTCACACACTCACACACACACACACACACACACACACACACACGGTGTGGCATGGGTCTGCAGTCCCAGCCTCACAGAAGGCAGAGGCGGGAAGATTACTTGAACCCAGGTATTCAAGACAAGTCTAGAGAAAAAGACAAAAAAGACACACTGACTATCCTATGAAGACAATATATATAGGAGGGGACACAAATGCGACCTGACAGTTACATTAGACTGGATGGCAAAGGAGACCAAATGAGAAAGTAACATTTGCTAAAATGTAAAACGCAAGGACCCAATCATTTGGAAGGACAAGGCTTTCCCCAGAGAAACAGCATCAGGAGACAAGCCAGTGCAGGGAATAAGGGAGAAATGAAGGGCAATACAGATTTACAGTGAAAAGGTAGAGGAGAGTCTGAAGCGGGAACAGAAGGACCTGACCCATGAGTAAAGGAAGCAGGTCCCACAGCATGGAAGGCTGCAGCAGGGCCAACACTGCTTCTGTGCTGTACAGAGCAGACTGGGGAAGACACAGGCCAACCAGGGAACTGCACAAGCTTGGCGGAGGGGGTAGAATGCAGCTGCTGAGGGACTCAGCCACCTGGGCAGGTGCCAGCACCACAGGGTTCTAGAGCCGAGAAGGACAGTGAGCGCACAGCTGTGGCCGCTCTTTGTTAACAAAGTTAAACAGCTATTTGATATCCAGGTGGAAACAGGGAGAAAACATTTCTAGAGAGAAGGGAATCATTAGCATATGTAGGGTATTTAAAACTACTTACAGTACTGAAATTAATCTAATTGGAATAATCACCTGGGAAATTTCATTAAACTATAGTACCCAGGGCTAGAGATGGCTCAGTGATTAAGAGCACTAACAACTGTTCTTCCAGAGGACAGGGTGCAATTCCCAGCACCTACAGGGCAGCTCACAACTGTTTGTCAAGATCTGACACCCCCTACACAGACACACATGCAGGCAAATCACCAATGTACACAAAAAGAAAATTATAAATAAGTGAATGTATATATAGTATGTAATGTAATATAGTACGAATTAGTGCATATATAATGTATATATATTTCCCATTTTCCAGAGGCTAGGAATTATACTTTTCCAGAGAATCAGAGGTAATAAAGTTAAGTGTGGGAAACATTTAATTGTGTCCACTCAATGTGTTGGGTATGGAAGAGCATGTCTATGATGCCCGAGGCAGGACAAACACTAGGTAAACACTATATATTTCTCTGTGGGTTCAAGGCTAGACTGGTCTACAAAGCAAGTTCCAGGACAGCCAAAGATGTTACACAGAGAAATCCTGTCTCAAAAAAATAAAACCAAAAACAAAACCAAACAAAAAAAAAAAAAAAAAACAAAAAACAAAAACCAACCAACCAAAACCAAAACCAAACAACAACAACAACAACAAAAAAAAACAAAAACAAAAAACCGGCCTGTGCTACTGAAGTCCTGCCTCAAAATCAAATAAATAAAAAAGAAAGAGATTCATCTGGCTAACACCTTAGAAGATGCTGTAAGCACTACATTAGATTATATGCAAAGCACCTAGGATATAGTAAGTATTCAACAAACATTAGATCAACTTACTCTTCCATTAGTGCTTGCAGGGTTCTTGGTGAAGCAGTGTGGTAGAAATAACATGGGCCCTGTAATCAGACAAACCTGGGTTCAAAGCCTAGCCCTTACACTTAATTTCTGTCTGACCGAGGACAAGTTACTTCACCTAAGTCTCACGTCTTCATTCTGCCTCACAGTGTCATATGAGTAAATAGAATCTTGTGCCATGTGTTTAGGGTTAAGTAGGTTGTGTGACAGTCATATATAGTATCCTAAATAGCAGTGAGAACAGATATATACAGTAACATGGAGAAATCTCAAAAACAAAAGAAGTAAACAAAAAGAAGTAAGAAACACAAACATACATATAGAATGAGTATATTTAAATAGTTGTAAGTGTAGGAAAAATGAAGTAATATATTATTGACAAATATAATACATAACACTGTAAAATACAAGCCTATACCCAGTTACTTAAGAAGCTGAGTCTGGAGGATCCCAGGATGAAGGCTTTTCTGATCTACTGAGGATAAGTTCAACTGACTTCTGTGCAACCTAATGAGGGCTTATTTCAGAATAAAAGTACCAAGTGGTGAGGGCACAGCTTAGTGGTAGACTGACTACCTGCCTAGCAGGCAGGGGACCCGGGAAGCAACAGCAGCAGCAAAACTAAGAAAAGTAAAGAACGGATTACAAAGTTCAAAATAATGGATGTCTCTGGAGGAAAGAAGGGAAATAATTATTAAGGGCATCTAACAACTACTAGTTATCTTGCTGGACACAGAGAAGACTTTATTCCAAAATTATTTTTAAAAACTGACACATTTCAAAAGTGACAAAATTCTATAGTTTCTTTAAAAAAATTTAATGATATCTAAAAATAAACTTTATACAATCTTTAACTTTATAGATGTAAGTGAAAGGAATTCACCAAAATTTAACGAGAGTTTGAAACCAACCTATGTCTACTCGTCTCATCCAGCGTTGAAGCCATCTTACACTGTACTACACAAACAAACTCTAAAATGGAATTTACAAGCTCACTTACCACTCTGGTAGTACTTGGAATCATGTGTCCATCTGAAGCCAGTGCACAGACCAAAGTCAGTCAACTTAATGTGGCCATCTCGGTCGATCAAAATGTTATCAGGCTTAATATCTCTATGGATAAAACCCATTTTATGAACACTTTCAACTGCACAGGTAAGTTCTGCTATGTAGAAACGTGCCAGATTTTCTGGAAAGATGCCCATTCTAATCAACAGGCTCATCATATCGCCCCCAGGGATGTAGTCCATCACAAAATACAAATTGTCCTTATCTTGGAATGAATAATACAATCGAACTACCCACTCGTTGTCAGCTTCAGCTAGAATATCTCTCTCGGCTTTAACATGAGCGACTTGGTTTCGAAGTAGAACATCTTTCTTTCGCAGAGTTTTTGTTGCATACAAAGCTTTAGTATCAACTTTTCTTGCTAGACAGACTTCCCCAAACGCTCCTATTCCTAGTGTCTTTATCTTCACAAACATAGACTTGTCCATTTTAGCCCTCTTAAGACGAATATAGTTAGACTCTTTCTGGCAAAGCATCTTTCTCATTTGATCCTGGGCATCTTGAGATAATCCAACCTAGGTAAATAAACTAGAGGTTAAATAAGGAATTGCATTGACTAGTAAGAGATAGCTTAAGACAAAATCCAGGCATATTTTTGAAAGTTAAATGCATAATGATTTTTAATAAAGCATGTTAGAATTCTAGAATGTATTTCAGAGAAAAATTAATAATCAAAGTCAAGCTTGAAAGCTAGTGAACAATACACAAGATTGAGTATATATGCAAATTCAGCTGTGGAGCAAGTAGAAGAGGGTGTTAACAGTCAGGGTTCTATTCCTCTCTAAAGGACTCACAGAACAGCTTCCCAATACCCGGTAAAACAGATGTCTGCCAACATGCACTCTCAACTCTCTCCATGCATAACCCCAAATTACAGCATCAAACTGCCTTCACAAAACGTTTCTGTAGAATGTCTATGCCTCAACTATTTTCCCCCTGATTTTATCTTTCACAGAGAGAATTTTTTTTCACCCAGGCTCAATCAAAAAGGAAGGAAGGGAAGAAGGGAGGGAAGAAGGGAGGGAGGGAGGGAGGGAGGGAGGGAGGAAGACAAATGGCTTAGTAGGTAAAGGCATCTGTGGCCAAGTCTGACTCTCCCAGTTTGATCCCTGAGAAGCACGTGGTGGACAGAACCCACCCCCTCATGTTGTCCTCTGACCTCTACCTGTTCTCAGAGGCTTGTGTGTATGTGTGCATGAACACACACATACACAGAGAGACACATATGAATAAAGATGTAGCTAAATTTTTTTTAAAAGAAATATACAACAGGCATGGTAATCTTTCTTTTTCCGAGACCACCAGTGTACAGACCAGACCTCTAAAGCCTCTAACAAAGTGCAGAGGGACAACCTGCTTGGTGTCTTTCAGATATTCTGAAATCGTTTCTAAAATGATTGTGATTGAGGGTATTACCAATCAAAAACCAGATAAACACAAAGCTCAGCTTCTAAGCAGTGACAGGACACCTGGACTTAGAAGGCAAGGGGTTTCTTCGGCTACTACAGATTTTACTGAAGTTTAAAAAGACAAGTCTTAGAAGAGTACAGGCTAATTTTAGAAATGCAAGACTAATCTCAAAGAGCAACCTCATGCTTCTGTTAGGATGTGCATTTGCATGCAAAATCTTTTCAGAGTGGTAGCATGCCAGACTTAGTACACAACTCTTTCTCTTAAAAATCTTACTTGCCTACACAGTAATGGAGGCTACAGAAGTCAGCAAAGCTTCCAACACCATGAAAGTTTAAGTCAGCTATTAGTGAAAGTGAAGAGGAAAAAGGAAAAATAAACTAAGAGAATACATAGACTTTAGTAAGAACTTCTAAGAACAATGTGAATAAAAGAATTTGTGGTAATTTTCCTTGAACATAATTATAGAAAGAAAATATTGGCTGGTCAGGAGTGACACACAGCTTTAATCCCAACACTCTGGAGGCAGAGGCTGGTGGTTCTCTGAGTTTCAGGACAGCCAGAGCTACACAGAGAAACCCTGTCTCAAAACCTTCCTTCCCACCGCCCCCCACTCCGCCCCGCCAGCACTGAACTAAAGTTGCCTGGAAATAAGGAGTCATTCTACAGCTCTTTCAGTATGAGGGGAGGAGACGCACACTCTTCTTACACTTCGAGGGTGGATGTAAAAGGCAGGAGAGTCAAAGCTTTGCACTCTGAGCATATGATACAACCATGATGGTGAGGGCTCAAGCACAGCGCCTGCCAATGGCATCTGAAGGGAGTGCACAGTACTCTGGTCACGATGCCTTCTGCAATTTAAGCCCACTTTCCTCAAGCATAATTAGACGAGGAAAGGAACTGCAAAGAGATGATTCTGACACTTCCTTTTCATTTTTTTCTTCTGGTTTGTGTGACAGTCTTGCTACATAGCCTTCGCTGCCTTGGAACTAGCAATGCAGGCCTCTGCCTCCTGATTGCTGGGATTAAGACTTTGGCACTTTCTAATAATGTGTATATAAAGAATAAATGCCAAATTCTCAGCTAAAAAGCACTCATTCATACGTGTATTGAAAGATCACCCAGATTATTTCTGGTTGACTTTTGTATGTTGTAAAATAATACATAAAACCTAGAAAATAACCCTTGTTTTAATTTCCATATCTCACATAGTACAAATAATGTATTTTAAATTTACACAAGAACTTTATTATAGGGAATGCTAAATAAATCACTGAAATGTTACAATCAAAAATTCTCTGGAAGTTTACTCAAATTATTGGCAACACATTGTATCTCTCTACAAGAATACTGGAGCATAGTATTTTAAAATACCAAGGAAAGAGAAGCTCAAGTGTGAAAATATTTGTAAAAGTTTTACCCGCATCATTTCATTTTCTAATTGTTTTTTCCGATGCAGACGCTGCTGATGAGATTTCAGGACGTTTTCTACATGCTGCTCCATGAAGAATTTAAACGCCTGCGGTGAGTAGCTCTGGATCCGAGACTCTCTTCGTTCTTCATCTTTCTTGTTTTTCCTAACAGTGATAGGTGAAGTTGTAATCTGTTTCTTTTCTTTATCCCCGCTATCAACATTTTCCAGACTTTTCTCACCATCGTCTTCCTTGGGTAAGTTAGGCTGATCATCTTTGCATGGTTTATTTATTGACTCATAGGGAGGAACAGATGGGTTCTGGTGTAGCAGATGTTTTGGATAAGGTGGTGGTGGACCTTGATAGCTTGGAGCCTCAGCAGCTGGTGGAATGACAGGCGCATTTGAAGCTGTGCCCTCAGGAAAAGGGGCAGGCTGAACAGTCTGAATTGGCTGTGGCATCCAAGAAGGATGGGTAGGGGCTAAAGCAGTCTGCAGCTCTGGTTTCAGGACACGAATGCTTTTCACAGGCTGTTGAATAGGAGCTGGTGTGATCGCAGTGACTGTAGTGGCTGAAGGCTGAGAATTAGCACAGTGACTTGGTCTACTTCCCAAGGGGTTATTAAAAGAATTTGACCTCACTGGTATGTTGGGTTGCCATGTAGGAATTTCATGCCCACTGCTCGGGGACGATTGGACAGGAGCAGAAGATGACTGGGGCCAAGTTGTTTGCAGTCCAGGTATATTGATATTATAAAGCTCCATGTTGTGACTGTTCCTGTTTGGCACCATCATCGTTTGGGGAATATTTCCATTTGCATATGATGGAGGAGCAGCAGATGCCCCTGCCTGTAAAGCAGAAGGGCCCTGTCCATTAGTTGGGGTCAGAGGATATGGAGGTGGCGGCTGCCGATTTACAGCTCCAGTGGAGACAACATTTTGGTGCACGATAAAATCAGTCTGACCACCACCATTCTGAACTCCAGGTCTCCCTGGTGGAAAGGTAAATTTGTTAGTACTTTGCATGATGATTGGTTGTCTGCCAACTGGAACAGAATTAATGCCTCTCTGCCCCTGGTTAGGAGGGTTCATGGGAGAAGTGTTAAGAGGTGGTGGAGGGTAGCTCTCCTGCCATGTCCCAGGTGGGACAGGAGAGATTCGGGAGATTACATATTCCATGTTCCCAGAATAGCGCTTTGTCTGTGAGTTTGCTTCCCATGAAGGGGGAGGTGGAGTTGTACCTCGTGGAGGAGGGGTCTGGCCTCTTGGAGGTGGTGGAGGAGTAACACTCCTAACTTGAGGTGGCGGTGGGGGATTCACTCTCTGTCCATTGCTTGGGTGAGCTTGAGCAAATGCTGTAATGCCGGATCCAGACAGGGGCCTTCCTACATCTGCCTGTGAGTTGGGGCTTTCAGAACGATAGACCACATTTTCTCCCAGAGGTGGGCCGTGTCTCTGAGGAACTAAAGACTCTTTAGAACCTTTCCAGCTTTGTTTTCGGTTAATTGATTGTTGCACATTTCCTGTGATTATAAAGAAGAGAATAGTCATGTTTTTTTAACCTGTCTTTTTAAAATAATTTATCTCAGAATTCTGATACTACTAAATGATAGTCAAGTTAAGAATTGTTAACTAGGGAGTCAAGAGACCAGCCTTACAACATATTCACTGTAGTTAATAATAACAATGCACTCTTGGGGCTGGAGAGATGGCTCCGTGGTTAAAAGTGTCCACTGCTCTTACAGAGGACCTATATTCAGTTCCCACTACCCACAGGGCAGCTTACAACGGTAACTCCAGCTCCAGGGCACGGAATACCCTCTTTTGAACTTTACAGGCACTAGATACATGAGCCCACATAAAGACACGCAAGTAAAACATTCATAACATAAAAATAACAAAAACCCAATGCATTCTCGGGAACCACCCAAAATAATGAACTGACTAGTTATTTCAGGGTTTCATTTGTCACGTAGTGTAAGCCGGCCTCAGAGTCTTGGCCCTCTTGCTCTAGACTTCCATGTACTGGGAAACAAGGTACAACAACCCTACCCACATCGAAGAGAACAGATTTTAAGTATTCCCATCACATCCTCCCCCAACAAGTACAAGTGTTAGTTAGCTGGATTTAGCCCCTACCCACAATGGTTATGAAACACAATTCCAGCAAGTGATTTTTCTTAACATGTTTATGACATTTCATTAATTTTGTTCCTTTGTGTGAATATACATGTGCCATAGCATCATGTGTGGGTCACATGTGTAGGTTCTCTCCTTCTATTACGTAGGCCACAGGGATCAAGTTCAGTCAGTTCCTCAGGTTTGAAGGAAAGGGAGAAGACAGGGAGGTATGTCTTGAAGACATCCAGGCCTACCTGGAATTTATAATGCACATGTCAAGTTTGAGGCTAGTCAAGGCTCTAGAGACCTCGTCTCTTTTTTTATTTTGTAACTTTATTTTTATTATTAATCTTACTTTAAAACATTTATATTATTATTGTTATTATTATTATTTTGTGAGACAGGGTTTCTCCCTGGAACTCACTCTGTAGATTAAGCTACCCTCTAACTCAGAGATCTGCCTGCCTCTGCCTTCTGAGTTAAAGGTGTTCATCACCTCTTGGATATTTTTAATTATATGTATGTGTCTGCATCTGAATGGAGATGCCCTTGCAGGTCAGAGGCATGAAATCTTCTGGAGCTGAAGTTGTGAGCCACCTGATGTGAGTGCTGAGAATCGAACTTGAGTCCTCTGCAAAAGCAGTACTCAGTCCTTTTGTTTTTTCTCTTAAATCTTGATGTGGTAGTTTGAATGAAAATGGCCTCCATAGGGGCTGGAGATGTGGCTCAGCAGTTAAGAGCACTGGCTGCTCTTCCAGAGGACCTGGGTTCAGTTCCCAGAACTCACATGGCAGCTCACACCTGCCTGTAACTCCAGTTCCAGGGGATCTGACACCTTCACACCAGCGCACATAAAATAAATTATTTTAAACAAAGAAAAGAAAATGACCCCCACAGGCTCATAAAGAGTGGCAACACTTCAAAGGATTAAGGATGTGTGACCCTGTTGAAGTAGGTGTGACCTTACTGGAGGACATGTATGGGGGGCCCTTTGAGGTTTCAGAAGATCAAGCCAGGCCCGTGGCGCTCTCTCTCTCTCTCTCTCTCTCTCTCCCTCTCTCATCCCCTGCTGCCTGCAGAGGACCCTCAGCTCCTTCACCACCACTGACTGTGTGCTGCTAGGTTTCCCACAACAACAATAATGAACTGAACCCTGAACCTATAAACCAGCCCAGTTAAATGTTTTCCTTTATAAGAGCTGCCATGATCATAGTCTCTTCACAGCAATAAACCCTAACCAAAATACTGGATGTGCTAATTCCTTTTCTATTCTTTATACCTCACAGTATACATTCTTAACCACTAAGCCATCTCTCCAGCCCGGAGACCTTGTCTCAAAACAACGACAAAAGAAAAAAAAAAAAAAAAAAAAAAAAATTTAAGGGAGAAATTAAGTTTTGTTGCTATCGTTCTTTTTTCCAAAATAAAACAAGAACCCGGCCCCAAATTGGGGTTCAGTTTGTTTCCAGTTTCTTTGAAAAAGCTAGCACTTCCTTCCCACCTGAGGAACACTGCTAGGCTTACCTGATAACTCTAATTACTAAGGTCCCAGGACAACACAGCAGTGAATTACTCAGTGTTGGGAGTCCTAATGCTGCCCCCTGTCCCTGACTACACACATGAAGGTACCTTGTTAGTAAGGTTAAATGAACCCTTACTTTAGGCTTCAGGCAATATCAGGTGTTCTAAACAGAGGAACTCTGACACTGGGGATAATAATCGTAGTACTTGGGAAGCCAGAAGCTACTGCCAATTCAAGGCAACCTGTGCTTTATATTGAGCTCTGGCCCAGCCTGAGCTACATGGCAAAATTATGTCTCAAAACAAATAAATAGGAAAGCAAAATCAGCTGGGCAGTGGTGGCACACGCCTTTAATCTCAGCACTTGTCAGGTCTCTGTGAGTTTGAGGCCAGCCTGGTTTCCAGAGCAAGTTCCAGGACAGCCAGGTCTGTCACACAGAGAAACCCCTGTCTGGGGATGGGGGGTGGGGTGGGGTGTGAACAAATGAAAAGAAAGCAAAATCAAACCAATTCCCTATCACACACACAAGGATCAATTTCTTGGGGACTTTTCCTCTGTTCTTGATCTTCAACATTTTTTTTTTTCTTCAGATGGTTTGGTACCACCCTTTCCTGGATAGTAACATCTATGAAAGCCTCAAATAATTGTCAAGTTCTTTGAAATTTAGGAAGGTCAAAGCCTTAGATACACAGGTTTTTAAAAACAGGAGGGGTGGTGGTGCTTGGAGATACAGCACAGTGACAAATTGTTTGTCCAAAGACCCAGGTTCAGTCCTTACCCTGCAGATGGGACAGTGGATAATAGTAAAGCATACGGTGAGTGTCAACGGAACTTGCAATTCTGGAGGACTAGGAATGCAGCTCAGGGTACAATGTGTGCTTATCAGCTGTGAGGCCCTGGGTCCCATCCCTCCCTGACATCACAAAAATACAAATTTTTTGTACACTATTTAATAACAAAGAAAGTTATGACTGGTAAAGTAAGCAAAGAAGTAAGATTTAGTAAACATGATGCTTCCCCCCCCCATTTTCCTTTAAAAATTGGTTTTTAAGTAAGAGTCAACATATACACATATAGACCCATTCAGGTTTCCCATGGGAAGAAAATATTGTGGCTATTAATAATGATATGGTATTGAAAAAAAAGACACTTATTTGGTTATTTATCTTGACACAGGTTCTCACTACATAGCCCTGGCTAGCCTGGAACTCCCATATACCACAATCAGTTTGAGATTTGAAACTTCACCTTATTGTATACTTTGATGACTAAGCTTGGGTGTCAACTTGACTACACCTGTGAGGATTTCTTGATTGGATCATTTGAGGTGAGAAGACTCCTCCTAACCCTGGCCACACTTACTGGTGGAGCTCACATAAGAGGACAGGAAGAAGGAACACTTTGCTCTTGGCTTTCCTTCAACCTCACTGGCAAACTCATCTATCGGGTGGCTGAAAGTGTAGGACTAATTGCTGCTCTGCAGAGGACCTTCCTTCAGTTCCTAGTGCCCCATATGGTGGTTTACTGCCACCCCAGAGCCTAAACCTCAGTGGCACCAGAAACGCATGTGGCACACATACATGTGCAGGATACATACACATAAAAATAAAATGTAAATAAATCCCCTTTCATCCCTATCAAGTGTTCCTCTAAATCAGATGCTAATGGCTGTGTTTGTCAGTCTGTTTCTCCATCTACCCCCAGTCTTCCTTCCTTTCTACTTTTTGTTTTGTTTGAGTGTTTGAGCCAGGGCCTCCTGTAGTTCAAGCTGACTCTGAACTCATTTTGTAGCTATGGCTGGCTCTGAATTACTAATTCTCCAGCCTCCATCTCCCAAATGTTGGTGTTACCAGGACTGTGCCATCACGCCTGGCAATATCAGCAACTTCTAAGACCAAAGATTTGGCATATTGGGTGTTTTACAATACACTGTAGGAAGAAAAAGACAAGAGAAATGAACAGAAAGCCTGTAAGACGAATCACCTGGTCTCACGCTGGCATTAATAGGTCTGGCGGCTGCTGCGGCCGTTTGCTCTCGGCGAGGGTCTTGGTAACTCATTTTACTAATGAATTCAACAGCTGCTTCTAGGCTTCTGCTATTAGTTTTCTGAAGAGCTTGAATAACCATGTCCTGATACAAAATTTCAACAAAAAGAAACATAAATATAATCAGCAGAAGGAAAGAATAACAGTAAGCACAAGAGACATTCCTAGTTATGAAAGGCACTGTCCCAAGCATAGTGCTGTCTTCCTTCATTCTCACTTATTTGTGTGTATGTGTGTAACTGTGTACACACAAGAACGAAGGTGAGTGTGTGGAGGTCAGAGGGCAACTTAAAACTCTGCAAGTGACTGTGTGTGCATTAAAGTGTTGTATTAAGTACCTGAATAAGGTATGTCTATCGTAAAGGAATTGTCTATTTTCTGTTACAGGAGTTTTGCTGAGTGTGTATCCCCTGGAACTCGGTTACAAACCACTGTGAAGGGCCGAGGAAGTGCTGGGAACGGAGCCCGGGTCCCCAGAAGAGGTGCCGTGCTTTCTCACTGACCATCTCTCCAGCCCCAGATCACTATCACATTCACAGCATTAACTGCACCTCTGTTAAAGGCAACCAAACCCGACCTCTAACTGAAACGACGTATACTGTAGTTATGTTTTATGCCAGTCAGATTGTGCAAATTTGTAATGAGATACAAAGCAATTGCTCTTACTTTAAATTCAAATTTAATTTATAAACTGGTTAAATCAAGCAAAGTGTAACTATGGTATTAATTATTATATGGTAATACCATATCAGCTGGGAAAAAAAAACCCATTATTGCTTATCAATATTGTGGGATTCATACATTTGTTACATGTTCCAGAATTTCAGCCTATGGTTTTGGTGATTATTAACCTGGCTTTTTTTGTGACATGATCTCAAGTAGCCCACTTTAACCTTAAACTGGATACAAAACTTAGCATGACTTTGATCACTCCACATCTACCACCCAAGTGCTGTGACCACAAAGCATATGATATCATACAGCCAGTTTTATTACACTACCTGAATAAAACTATTGCCACACTTTCAAATATTTTCACATAGCTGAGCAGTGGTTGCTTGTGCCTTTAATCTCAGCATTCAGGAGGCAAAGGCAGATGGATGGCTGTGAATTCGAGGCTAGCCTGGTCTACAGAGCGAGTTCCAGCTCATGTTCCAAAGCTGTGTAGAGAAACCCTATCTGGAAAAACCAAAATAAATAATTAAACAAACAAACAAATAATAAATTTATGGAACAATGTAAGTATAGTGGAGTGTTAGTGCCAGTTATGAAGAGAGCCCTCAAGTCAGCACCTTTAATACTTAATACAAGTACTATTATAAGAAAAATCACATAATTATGCCTTCATTTTCATGTTTGGAGGGAAAATATGCTTTGGTAATTATATATTTATGTCCTCCAAAAATGCATCAGTATAATTTAACATTTATGCCAATCAAGAAATTAATCTTGAGATATTTGAACTTTTAATTCAACAGTTACCAGAAACATTCTCAGGAAAGGGAGGGAGGGAGGAAGGAAGGAAGGAAGGAAGGAAGGAAGGAAGGAAGGAAGGAAGGAAGACAGGCACAATAACACACACCTGTAAATCCATCACTTGGGAGGCTGATGCAATAGAGTGGTGAATCTTGTCTGAAGCTGGACTAAACAGAGTTCTACACTCACCCGAGCTAGACAAGACCAGTCTTAAAAAACAACACAAAAGGCAACTAAACATGTCAACTTGACATAAGCCAGAGTCATTTGTGAAGAGGGAGAACCTCAGTTGAAGTAATTTCCCCACCAGCCTGCCTGTGGGCAAGCCGATGGAGCCTTCCTTTTTTTTGATTCACGGCAGGCGGTGCCATCATTAGACAGGTGGTCCTGGTGCTCTAAGAAAGCAAGCTGGGAAAGCTCTGAGGAGCACATCAGTAAGCAGCACCCCAGTAAGCAGCACCCCTCCACAGCCTCTGTTCCAGCTCTTACCGCCAGGTTTGTGCCCTGATTTCCTGCCTTGACTTTCTCAGTGATGGACTTATAAACTGTAAGGTTTTGAAATAAGCTCTTTCTCCCCAAGTTGCTTTTAGTTATATTTTACTACAGCAAAAGAAACTCTAACTAAAACAGGTACCAGGGTTGTGAGACAATGCTGTGGCAAGACCTGACCATGTTTTGGGCAGGGCTGTGGGAAGACTGGAATTCTGGCTGGGAGAATTCAGAGCTTATGAACTGCTATGGGAACCTGGAAGATAATGCTAGGCTTAAAACAAACAAACCAACAAACAGCAACAAAAATCAGCTGTGATTAAGACACCAGCATCACTGAAGTAAAATATTCTGGGCAGTGCTTCCTCGGGGTTGACACATAGAAGCTGTGGTTCAGAGGGAGCCAAAGCTTTACCTTGTGCTAGCAGCCAAACCTGGCACTGTGTAAGTTCCCCAGGCAGTACTGGTGTTGGAGGCATAAGGAGTTGACCCTGTGAGAGGCCAGCAAAGGCCAGCGGTGAAGGTGCAGCTTCAGCTGAAGCAGAAGCCCAGGATTTAAAGAAGTCACAGGGAAAAGTTACAGCTTGACACCAAATGGCCGGGTCAGAGTCCCTGAAGAGAGCCTAGAAGATGCAGCCCAGCTCCAGTGGACACAGACATTCTGAAGATTCTGTCTGCCGAGGACAGCAGCAACTATAAAGTGGGGCAGCCTGAACCTAGGGGACAAGCTGTAAGTGGTGTGGATGGCAAAGCCAGAGAATGGCCACTCCCAAGGCCCTAGGAGACCAGAGGCCTGTCTGACACCCTGCACGTTAAGCACTGATTTGTCTTTTTGTATTACGGAATTGTGATTTTGTTTTGATCTGACTGGCTCTTCCTTTTTGAAATGCAATGTATCTTTGTTGTTGTTGCTGTTTATATTTTTCCAGACAGGGTTTCTCTGTGTAACATCTTTGGCTGTCTTGAAACTCACTGTGTAGCCCAGTCTGGCCTCAAACTCAGAGATCGGCCTGCCTCTGTCTCCTGGGTGCTGGGATTTAGACATGCACCACCACTGCCCAGCTTGTAACTTATTTTTTATTTTACTGGAACTCAGCTATCCCAGAACTTAAGATCCTCTCACTCAGTGTCCCTAGTGCTAGCATGAGCCACCATGACTAGCTATGCCTTGACTATTAACCATTGGTTACATTTTTACATAACCGATTTTTAAAATTTTATTTCTGTATATGAGTATTTGGCTCTGTGTATGTAGCTGTACCATGTGCTTGAGGAGGCCAGAAAGGGGATAGAATATCCTTAAACTGGAGTTTTATAGTGGTTGAGCTTTTATGTTGGTTCTGGGAATCAAACCTAGGTCCTCTGATAGTGCAACCAGAGCTCTTAACCTGTGAAGCCATATCTCCAGCTGGACATAGCTGAAATTTTATAAAATTTCTGTAATTTTTATAAAATTTTAATAAAATCCCTAAAATATTCACTCATAAATATTCAAAGCATTTTGTTGTGAGGACCAAATTTTATTAATAATCTAAACAAAATGTGATTAACTATGTTATGAAAAGGCCTCACAGGGCCCTGGAATAGATAGTAAAGACTTGGATTTGTAGACAGTAGGTAGTGGTGGCACTTGCCTTTAATCCCAGCACTCAGGAGACAGAGAAAAGCAGATCTGTGAGTTCAAGGCCAGCCTGGTCTACAAAGCAAATTCCAGGGCAGCCAGGACTACACAGAGAAACCCTGTTTTAAAACAAACAAAAGATTTGGCTTTGTTAGCCAGAACTAAATTTAAAACTGGGCCTGAGTGTTCTGAAATAATTCTCTCTCCCTATGATAAATCTAGACCATATCCTTGGAGCTGTCACTTTTCCAACAACTGAGATCACAACGTTCACATTTCAAACTACCCCCAGCCCCTTGTGGCTTTCTTCAACTGCACCTCCACTCTGGCCTCACAATCTCACCTACAGAAATTCTAGGACTTAGGACTAGCACAGAAGAAACTAAAGAAATAGTTATTTTGTTATACTAATTGTAAACATAGCATTCTTTGTTAACAGAACACAGAAATTTGTATGCACAATTGAGTCCTCCCAAAGGAAGACTTCCATATCAGCTCTCCTGAAAGGTGTTTGCCTTACAAATAAGAAGAATCATTTGGTTTTTTGTTTGTTTGTATGTGTGTCTTTAAACTTTCTTACCTCATCAAAGCCAGCAGCCTGCAGATCCTGAAACATCTGTGGATTAACTTCTGAAGGGATCCGAGAAGAACTTGTTTCGTTTGCAAATGGTAGGAGAGAGTTTCGAATTTCTTGCAAGGCTTTATGGTGTGTGCCAAATTTGGGTGGGTTTCTCACTTGCCTGGGATCTTCAGTCGACATCTTGCTCAGGTTGTGCTCGGCCTTTGCAGCATCAGATGGTTTAGATAAATTCCTAAGGGATTCTCGGATCTCCTGCAGCATCTGTCGGCTGCTGCCAGGGTAGTTGCTGGCAGGAAAGGTCTTAGGCCTCATCTGTCTGTACCCTTCTGGTTTTTCACCCCTCTTCATGAAAGCATCTATGTGTGGCCCCGATGAAGAACTTCTCCAGGAGCTAACCCACAGACTCAGAGATTCCTTCTAAGCAAAGGTGAAAGGGAATGTTCCCAGGAATGTTGAAATCCTTGACAATCAAAGTAACTAACCTAAAAAAGAAAATTCATAAGTAAAGCGATAGTGATTAAGAGAGCAGCTCTTTGAATGTAGGGAAATTTCCACTGCTATGAGCATTGACAGTTCCCAGCTGAAGCTCAGACTTCAAGTAGTCCTGTGGGATCAACGTTATTACTTCCCTACTTCTCTGTGCCTAGTTTCCTAGTTTCTAAAGTGGATTTACATTATTTCTAACTAGCAATACATGTGACCAAAACACAAAACAGTTAGGACAGACTGCTTTAATAAGTATATAAAACACATACAAATGTAAAGGATTGCTAAGTGAATCTTAATCATCCTCCCTCCCCTCCAATTTTAAATCTTGGAAATTAGACTTCAGTGTAAGAGTTTTTAAAAAAGGTTTATTTATTATGTATGCAGTGTTCTGTCTGCATGTATCCCTGCAGGCCAGAAGAGGGCACCAGATCTCATTCCAGATGGTAGTGAATCAGTGGGATTTATTTAGAAGAAAAGGTATCAGTGCTTTTAAAAGGTTTTACATTACTTTTTCAGAAGATTCAAAGCCTGTTTGGGTTTATTTCTCAAACTACAGAATGTGAATAAGGATATATATATCCTAGAGATGAAACTCAGATCATCAAGCCAGGCTGTGATGGTACATGCCTGTTATCCCAACACTTGAGAGGCAGAGGCTGGTGGATTTCTGGCATGTAGAAAAGGCCAGCCTGGTCCACACAGTGAGTTTCAGGACAGCTAGAACTCACCCAGAGAAAACAAACTAACCTCAGGTCATCAGGGTTGCACTAAGTGCCTTTACTGCAGACCCATCTCACCGGCCCTTCAGGAGTTCTTAATAAATGCATTGCGGCAGAGGCCGTATTCATGCACGACCTTCTGTCTTCCTTTCTGAGTAGCTCCAACAAAAGCCTTGTGAAGAAACATCCTATGTCTCAGTTTTCAGCTAAGGCAGTTAAAGATTTAGATGCATTCCTTGCTTCAAGGATTTAACAGGGCTCATTTTGGAATAGTGGGATTATAACACGGAGCGAAAGTGGCTCTCTAAATCACGGCATTGAGTCCTACTGACTACCATCGGACATGTGAGCAAGACAGCAATCTCTGCTGGATCAAACCATCAGTATCTCTTGTTTGTTACTAAAAGGCAGTATTGTTATAGCTTGACTATGACATGTCCCAGAAACTTTAGGAAGTGCATCCTAACTAAAGTAGGTCATTGGAGGTACTTTCTGTCATGTGAGATGACCTGCCACGAACCCTAAAACCCCCAAAACTATGAGCCATAATATATTTTTCTTCCCTTAACTTATCTGAAGTAAATTGTCACAGTGACCAAAAGTCTAAGAGGGCCAGCCAAATGTCTCACCAGGTAAAGATGTTTACTGCCAAGCCTGATTACCTGGGTTTAATTCCTAGGATCCACTGTACAATAAGAAAATCAAGCTCCCACATTTCTCCACTAACCTTCATACATGGCATGGCATGTACAAATGCATAAACATACACATAAATAAATGACATAAAACATTTTAAGTCTACTTATAATGGCTTCTGGGCCTTTTACAGTATGGTTTTTACTAGTTTAACATCTGCCCTCCTCTGAGAACAAGTGCCAGTTCCACATCCCAGCTCCAAACTCTTCCTAATAAGGAAGATGCGTTCACACGCCAACCCTCTGTTGCTGTACCTTCAGCCAGCCACCCTTGCAGAGGACTTGTACTAATCATGGTGGGGACTCACTCTGGAGCTATCATTCTTGAGGTCTTACTTTTTCTGTCGGAAGAACTTTGTATTTGTTTGGTTTTTTTTTTTTTTTTAATCTTACAGGAAATTAGTGTCAAAGGGGGTTATTACCCTGAACATATGGCTTAGAACCCTTTGGAATGGGTCTGTAGGAAGCCCACATCTTTGGGGAAGTGGGCTTCAGGCTCCAGATAGATGAGAACAGTCTCAGTGGTGACTCTGGTGAGAGGACAAAAGCCAGCACAGTAAGAGAAACACAAGCAGGAAAGGCTGTGCTCATGAGATTTCAGACTGCAAAGAACTCTACTGAGAATGGAACTAAAGGTCACTGTGTTGCATTCTGGCCAACAATGTGTCCTGAGAATTTCCATTAGCTGAAATTAAAGGTAATATGTAAGTTTAAAGGAGAAAGCCTAGGTTAGGTGTCCAGCTGGTGACCCCTATTTTGGGAGGTTCCAGAAACATATTTAAAATAAGGACACTGGGCTGGGGATATACCTCAATGGTCTAGCAATTACCAAGCATGTCCCCAAAACCCAGGTTTGCTCTACAATACCACACACACACACACACAAGAATTAAATTCTGATACTGTCAGTTCACCTTTCAGAACTGACAGTATCAGCAATTTACAACTCCTTCAACAAAGTATGGTTAACACAGGCTGTATGGAGTATCAATAATATTTATTACTATGATATGTGAAAACTCAACAATAGGCAAAGAGACTTTTAAAAAGAACTCAAAGGCAAAACAGATTACTACCTTAGATCAAGGAGCCATGGTGGCAGACTGGTTTTTCTAATGAACAATCCTGTCATGTTATTTTCTTGTTCCATAGCCATTTATGATTCCTTCCTTCAAGGACTCTTCCAACAGTAGTGCTTAAACCAAAAGCTCTGGCAGCACACTGCACAGGTAGGAAGCACCCCAGAGGCTGAGGCAGAAGGATCTATGTGAATTCAAGGCCAGCCTAATCTACAGTGAGGTACAGGTCTGGCAGGGCTATACAGTAAGAACCAGTCACAGAAACAAACAAAAACAATGCAAGTCTTAACTTGGGCTGAACTGAGTTTATAGACAACCTGCTAAAATGCTTGGTGAATGCTGGTGTTTATTGTTTCCTAGCAGCACAGTCTTCCTGCTCACAGCACTACTGACACAACCATCCACTGACATTTTCTCCCAGTTACTTTCTTGGGTTTTTCGAGACAGGGTTTCTCTGTATTGTTTTGGAACCTGTCCTGGAACTCACTCTGTAGGCTAGGATGGCCTCAAACTCACAGAGATCCGCCTGCCTCTGCCTCCCGAGTGCTGGGATTAAAGGTTTTCCCAGCGACTTTCTAAGAATTAACTGATCAAACGGCTAGAGAGACGGTTCAGTGGTTAAGAGCTCTGACAATCTCCCAGAAGACATGGGTTCCAGGGTGGCATCCATATTGGCAGACCACAACTGTCTGTAACCCCAGGTACAGAGGATCCAGCTTCCTCTTCTGATGTCAACAGACCCTAGGCACACACGTGCACATACCTTCCCACACACATAAAATACTTAGGAGGAAGAGTTAACTGACCAAAAGTGAAAACCGGGGTATGGGTGGAGGTCGGTTGCAGAGCGCTGTTGAGCATGCACAAAGGCAAGAGTTAGACCCAGCAACCTGGGCTTGGTGCTATGATGTACCCTCAGGAGGATCATAAACCCACGGTCATCCTTGGCTACATAGCAAATTCTAGGCCAGCCTGGGCTACTGAGACCCTGTTTTAAAAACAACCAAAACGTCGAAGCTGCTGAGTATGGTGGCAAAAACCTACGCAAGCTAGAGAGAACCTGTCTCAAAAGAAAAGAGGCAAAGGGTTTCCTCACCGTCAGTCCGTACATACAGACAGTGCTTGCTACCAGAAAAATATGAAAACAATCCCGTACCAGAAAATGGTCATTTCTACTTTATAAGGTTACTAAACTTGTGTGGGTTACAAAAGTCATCCAATCTAAATGTCACATCTAAATGGAGTTAAATAATCAGAGCAAAAAACATTCCAAGAGCATATGTATAGAGAACAACAACTAGCATGCAAACCAGAAACTTAAATATGGAAATAAAGCCAGATATCACCATACACAAGCTTAGGAGACTTTTTTTTTTTTTTACTTTGAAGAGTCTCAAGGCTTAGTCAGTCAATAATCAGGCTCGGAGAGTGAGTGACTTTCTCAGCACCTGCCACGATCTAGTTTCTTGCAATAACAGCCCTGTAAGAGAAAGGCAGAGACTCCTCTGGCTGACCGACTCAGGGAATCAATCACCCGGCCCTTTTTACCCACTCACTTAAGAGAAAACCAATTAGTTAAGACAATAAAAACTGAAGGTATCTTAGCAGTGAACCAAAGCTTTTTTTCCTCTTGGAGGAAAACTGATTTAAAGCTAGCAACATTTGCAGGGCATAATGACACAGACCTTAATTCCAGAAAGGCAGATATTTTGAGTCACCCTGGTCTACACATCAGGCTAATTAGGTACTATATATTGAGAAACTATCTTAAGAAAATTATAATAACCTTCAATTAAATAGTCCATAAACGTCTGTCAGCCTTCATGATGCCAGGCTTTCAGGCTAATTTCCAAACTTCGGGTGGTAGTTATTATTCACCAGAGAATACACGTACTTTTAAAGTCATATTTACAAATGCTGACAAATTTTTTAACCTTGTTCCCTTAGGGAAATGACTTTCAATGGCAGAAGTCGGGATAAGTCACCTGCGAATCATTCTTTGCCACGCTCCAAGCTCTCTTTCTCAAGGGACAATACACACCCCCCCCCCCCCCTTGATGGTCCGTCCTTCGTTTTCCAGACTTGAACACGCGCACCGACTGAGTGACACCGTGTCTCCCAGCCCTTGCCACTAAGCGGTGACCTAAGCCCTTGCAGCGGGCTGGCCGGAGAGCGCCGGGGTTGCTTGGGGGTGTACCCGGGCTGGAGGCCCGCAGCGAGGCAAAGGGAGCGCAGCCGGTTCGGGGCAACCTCCCGCGGGGAACAAATCCCGCTCATCGGGCCCGTAACGCTGGGAGGGGCGGCCGGGGCGGCGGTGTGGCCGGGGGCCCTCAGCCGCAGCTCTCCCCGGCCTCGCTCGCCCGTCCGAGGCCGCGGCGCCCCGGGCTCTCCCCGCGGCGCCGGGTGCGGCCGACCCTCACTTGCCGCGGGCAGGGCTCGGCCCGGGTCGGCGCAGCCGGGACCCGGGCGGCCCCCGGGGCCCCCGCCAGCGGGGATGGGCGTGGGCCCCGCCGGCCCCCGCCCCGCCGGCCAGGGCCCGGGAGAAGCGGGAGCCCCACCCGCGGCGCCGGCCCCGGACTCACCTGCAGGGGACGGCGGGGCTCCCGGACAGCGGCCGCGGGCCCGAGGGCCGGCGCCCCCGGGGTCGCTCGGGCTTCGGGATGGGCCCGGGCGGGGACACAGGCCGGCGGGGCTGCGGCCGGCCAGCGCGGCCCGACGCGGGGTCGCGAGCGGCCGGCTCTGCCCTCAGCACCAGGCCGCCGCCGCCATTTTGCCTTCCACTCCGTGTCGCCGCCGCCGCCGCCGCCGCCGCCGCCGTCCGCCCGCCGCGGGTTTCCCGGATGTGGGCATTTCCCGGCGTCGCTTGCGCGGGGGCCGAGGACTGGGGGCTTCAGGGCGGACGCTCGCTCGCTCGCTCGCCCCGAGCCGGGCGAGGGCAGTCGGTAGCAGCGCGTTCGGGCGCCCGGGCGGCCAGCGTGGGGCCCACCAGGGAAGGGCGGCCGGCGGTGCTCCGAGACCACGGACGTCTGGAGGCCACAAGTGCAGGGCTCGAATGGAAGCCCCGAGTCTTGGCGACCTTGCAGCGTACGTGCTTTCGGAGTCAGCAGGCTGGAGAACTCTTGCAACTGCACCAATGGATTGGCAGAGATCGGTGCCTCGGATCCGCAGCACAGGTCACTGGAGCCATAAGTGCAGTAACGGGCCGGTCGGTGTCAGTGGTGTTTCTTAGGAAATTGAGCCTGCCATCGGGTATGCACCATTGCCTTTGATCTGAGAAAGTGCTCTTCTCTTTTGCTGGATTGGGGCAAAACCTGGGGTGGGCTGGGGCTTCCCGAGTATTGAGATTCTTAATGGTGCCAGCCAAAACTGACCCTGTAAATATGAACACCTTCCCTCGTTTTGCCGCTAGGAAATAGTTACTATTTTTCAGATCATCTCTGAGTGTTAAATAAAAGGTAAAAATGTGTTAACAGGAATCGAACCATGCATGCTATGCAAGTGCCCTACCCGAGCTCTATCCTCAGAACATTTTTATAGTTTTCCTTTTAAGACTGGGTCGTACAAAGGTGTAATAGACAAGCCTTTGAAATTGTGATCCTTCTGCCTCCGGAGTAGATAAACAGGGCCTGCTCCGCGAAGCTCTGTCCTTTTTCTGAGGTTAATCACTGAGTACTGTATCCAAAAGTTCAACTGTGAAAACCTCAGATGGTCAGATTTGGAGGCCAGGGAAATGTTTAGTGTGATTGCTGCCATTGCTTTAGAAGATGTGTTGTCAATAGTGAAACCCTTAGCGTGGCATCAACCCACCCTGCAGTTGGATGCTTCCTGCAAATTGAGGTCCCTTCTTGTGCTATGGTAGGTAATAAATTCAGTGGACCACGTCTGCTGATTTAAACCAACTTAAAAAAAAAAAAGTCACGGAGCTGGAGCTGAGGCTAAGTCACAGCTTCAAGGGGGGGGGGGGTGGTGGTAGTAAAAACAGCCCATGAAAGATCCCTGGGAACCAGGCGAGGGGAGTGGAGTGGATGCTTGGCCAATGGCTGCAGGACCCAAACTACAGACCTCCAACCTGGAGCTGGAGGGCGCTGGCATTCCCAACTTTACAATGATTTATATGAAATTATTTTGTAAATATTTTCAACCTTTAATAGTCACAACAATTACCTTTGGCACACTTTCCATATTAGTAGCTTTTTAGATGTTAGAAAACTATTGCTAAGCTTAGGAGAAGTTATACATTCTAGAATGTATATTGTTTACAAGGGTTGATTTGCAAACATTTATTTCTGGAAATAAATTTGGCTCATGTAACCATGCATGGAGAAGCTGGGGAATCTTCGTATGTGACAAAGCTAGTTTTCAAGGACAAAGGGATGGGGGATGTCCCTCTGAATGCTGTGAATCTTTCTCTTATTGGACAGTGAATAAATGCTGAGTGGCCATTAGCCAGACAGAAGTATAGCTAGGAGAATGCTGGGAAAAGAAGCCATGTAGCTACCAGGAAGATAGGGCACCGGGAATTCTTCGGTAATCCAAGACCATGTAGAGTTACATAAATGTATAGAAATGGGTTAATAATTAAGAGGGCTGGCCAACGAGAAACTTGAGCCATCGGCCAAACAGTTTACAATTAAACGGCTGTGGGATCAGACTGAACAGAAACTCCATCAACAGGAAAGGTTAACAGATAACATCCTTTGGAAATAACCGAACCCCACACTGCCCTGTGTGCATAGAAACCCACCTTATACCTGTTTCTGTTGGTTAGTTGGTCGTTCTGGTTTTGGGTTTTTTGTTTTTGTTTTTTTTAAGACTTAATAAAATTTGAGTGTTTTCCTTGAACATATATGTGGACCATGGTGCCTTCAGAAGTCAAAAGACATGACAGATCCCCTGGAACTGCAGTTATGGGTGGCTGTGAGTCACCATGTGGGTGCTGAGAATCCAACCTGGTTCCACTGCAAGAGTAGCAAGTACTTTTAACCACTGAGCCATCTCTAGCTCCTGGCTACATAGTTTAATTCACATAATTCTGCTTGGATTCTACATTGTTCTGTTTTGTAGAATTGTTAAGTTAAATGAAGGCATGAGTTGAACAGCACTGGAACCCTCCGATGTCTATAATCTGAAGATCTTTTGCAGTTAATCACTGATGAGGTTCTAATAGTATCAGGGGAGGAGTCAGCCAACAAGCCAAACTGGGCACTGACATTAACAACAGTTTACTGGTTCCTTGCAAATATGACACTTCCTCATGATTGACCTTTGCACACGATGGAACTGATAACTTTGGGTTCCCATACTTTCATGAAAACAGTTGTCTGGTAACATAAATGGCTTCTGCATCAGTCCCACAAACAAGACAGGGACCTAAGACATCCAAACTGTTTACAGACAGAGTCCTGCTGGGAAGCAAGCTTGTGATTTCAATGCGGTCTTTGGCAGGGTCTGTGCTGAGCCAGGGACTTATTAGAGACTGGTGAGCACTGGCCTGGTTACTGATGCTGTGAGACAGGAGAGTACTGCTTCTTCCTCCTGTGAGGAGAAGAGAAGGGAAAACGTTAAGGCCTTCCTATGAGAACTTGCAATAGAAAAATGTTTACTGGGCCTCGGGGGTAGGCACCAGGCAGGCAGAAGGGCCATGAAGCAGCCCCTGCGTTTTAGGTCCTGATCCAGACAGGCACACTTGGGAATGACCTTTGCTTTTGCAATCTCTGAGTGACACACCTGTCTACACAGGCCACAGTTCCTAATCCTTCCCAAACGAACATTCAAATATATGAGCCCACAGGGGCCATTCTCATCCAACCCACAAAGATAACTTCCTGTCACTAAACATAAAGCTTCTGCTGATATTTTAAAAAGGCAATAATTCCTGCTTATTTCATTCCATTAAGTCAGGCTCATGTGGGGAGTGAATAAGCACAAGATGAAGAGCAAATTCTATTATGTCATCTTTTTTTATTTTTTTGTTCTTTGAGACAGGGTCTCTTATATAGTCCTGGCTGTTCTGAACTACTTATGTAGACTAACTAGACTGGCCTCAAACTTTCAGAGATTTGCCCACCCCGCCTCCTGAGTGCTGGGATTAAAGGAGTACATCACCATACCCAGTTCCTATCATGTCATCCTAAAATTTTTCATTACATGATATGTGTGTGAGCTGGGTGGTGGTGCACGCCTTTAATCCCAGCACTCGAGAGGCAGAAGCAGGTGGATATTTGTGAGTTCGAGGCCAGCCTGGTCTACTGAGCGAGTTCCAGGACAGGCTTCAAAGCTAGAGAGAAATCCTGTCTCAAAAAACCTAAACACAAATAAACAACAAAGGGGGGAAAGCAAAAGATTTGTTTTATTTTTAATTATGGGTTGTGCGTGTTTATGTGTGTATGGATCATGGGGATGAGAAGGCATTTTGTAGGAATCCATTCTCTCCTCCATGTGGGTTCTGGAAATCAAACCCATTACCTCATGAGCCATCTCACTTGCCATATGTCATCTTTTTGACTAAATATCTATTCAGTTTTAGTAAATACTCCAACATTTGAAGGAAAAACATGAATACCAAATTTGTAGTCTTAAGGAAAAACAGAAATTTAATTGTTCCCCGTTTTTCTGTTTATTGTTTTAATGGAAAATCTCAGAGAGGTACCAAAAATAAGGAAAAAAGAACTCAAATGTTCATAGAAATATTAGTTCCTCACTTGGGAGGCAGAATTCTGTGAGTTCAAGGCCAACCTGGTCTACATAGTGAGTTTCAGGACAGCCAAGGCTACAAAGGTCATGTCTGAAAAACCAACCAAACAAATATGAGTTCCTAGTTCATATGAATGAATTTATAGGAGCCCACGAGATGGCTCAGCTATTAAGAACAAATACTGTTCTTGCAGAGGGCCTGGGTTCAGTTCCCAGCACTGAAGACAAATGGTTCACAACCACCTGTAACTCCAGCTTCAGGAGATCTGAATCCCTCCTGTGGTCTCTCCTGCCAACTACAATGGTACACATACACACACACACACACACACACACACACACACACACACACACACACACACACACACGTAAAGACGCACAACACATAATTAAAAAAAAATGGCATCTTTTCCTTTGCTTTCCCCTTTGGTTATTTTATGTGTATGCGTGTTTTGCCTGCATGTATGTCTTACACCATGTGTGTGCCTGGTGCATGGAGATCATTGGATCCCCTGGAATTGCAGATGGTTGTGAGTTGCCATGTTGATGGTGGGGATTACAGACATACATACAGGCAAAACACTCATACACATAAAATCAAAGATAATTAAGAAAATGGGGAGGCAGAGGCAGGTGGAACTCTGTGAGTTTGAAGCCAGCCTGGTCTACATAGCAAGCCCCTGACTCAACATGAGAGTTAAAAGATCCTGAAGCAACACTCAGGAACCTTACCTTGGTGAAAGAGAGAAGACTTTTCAGGTCCATTTGTGGAGGCATCCCAATGCCAGAGGGACCCATCTTCAGAACAAGTAAACAGATGATCCGGGTTGGATGGGTGGAAGTGAACCTCCCACACTAAGAAACAGAGGGAATCAACGTGAATAGTCCATGAAGGTTAACTGACTTAACAGTTACCGATTTTCTGGCCCACTCCACAAGCAGTAGCTCTTATCTACCCGCGTTATAGT